TTTTTTTATATTTTCCTTTCATAATCATGCTCATGCAAATAAAAATTTATTGTTTTAGAATAAAAGAGCATGGAGTTTACTGTTTAGTAAAAAAAAAGTTAGAAAAGGGGAGAAATTTCGTACTTTTGACATGTGCATGAGCTCTTTTGGGCCCCACATCACCATGTCGGTCTGCCAATACTACACTACCAGCAGAACAGCTTCGCCAACCTCTGCTGTAGTATAACGAATACTGCATTGCACAAGTGGAGATATATAAACATGTTTAGGACCAGAGAATTATGTTTGTGACTTTTTTGTGTGATTTGCAACTTGCAACATAAATAACAAATGCCATCAAATATTGGCATACCATGTCTTATGACAAAAGAAAATAATAATAATAATAATAATAAGCTGAAAATGTTTCTAGGGTTGGCAACAGAACAATTGGGGTGCACCACATAGACCTTATCTCAAGTTGTGAATAAAGGTGCAGGGTTAAAATTGTTTTAGGGTTCAATTCTCTCAAATGGACTAATTCAGGAGCGAACCATCAAAAATAGGTAGAAATTCCACTGATAATTAGAACGTAACCACCTATGATGCCATTCATGCATATATCATAGTACTATATTGACTAGGAATATGGCATCTATTTTCATGGTGTAAATCAAATTGTCTTGTGGATAGCACAGTTATACTCTATACTTAACCTGCTAGGTTTACTTCTGCACAACCTGTCCCAGGTCCTAAAGGAGGGGGAAAAAAAAAAGGAAAATCCCATATCTTTTATTATGTATTTATTTTTTTCTTACATGAAGAAATTGGTTTTGATCGGTCATATTCATGATGGTGGAGCCGTCGGAGAGTAACAATGCTAGTTAGAACAAGAGAAGATTATGTTGCGGTAACACTCTACTGCGTGTCTATGTGGAAGGAAGGATGCCAGGCCAAGAAGGAGAAAATATAATCTTTGAAATATAGAAAATGATTTAAAAATAATTTTTTTGTTTTACTTTTTTATACAATTTTATGTATAATTTAAATGATTGGTTCTTTTATTTATTTAGAATTTATGATATTAAATGCATCAACTCATTTAATGATATATAAAAATTATACAAAAAGATAATATAAAAAAATTATTTATATGTCATCACCCTTCAAATATATAGGTGGAAAGTGAATTTTTCATATCCGGCTCTTGACTTTTTAGTTTTAATTTTCAAAATTTAATAAATTAAAATTAATAATTAAAAATAAAAAATAAAAATTAATATTATAAATTTATTAAGTATAAAATTTTAAAATAAATGCTCAAAATTTTAATATAATTAAAAATAAAAAATAAAAATTAATATTATAAATTTATTAAGTATAAAATTTTAAAATAAATGCTCAAAATTTTAATTTTTTTTATTAAAAAAACTTTAAACTTAATTAATTTATAAAATTAACTTAATTTTATTTTAAAATTTCTAAATTTTAATTAATTTATTAACAAAAGGTTTTTGTACTGCAAATTGGTGGAGAGGGCAAGAGTGAAAGAAAAAAAGTTAATGTTCTATAGAGTTCTAAAAACGTCAAACAATTAAAAACAAATTTTAATTCTTAAAAATAAACTAATTATATAGAACAAAATATAGTAAGTAGTTAAAAAATAAATTTTTAATCATGTCCTCTTAAAAAAATTTTGAAAAGCGATGTGCTAATAAACCATTTATACGTGAGTACCTTGCATTAAAGAGTTTGTTAATCAAATCCTATACTGCTTTCTGTGAACGCTTCATGTCTTCATCTCATCATGTTTGCTCAGTTTAATGTTTTGAAAAAGTTTCCAAAGCAAAAAAAAACCATAATCACAGACTAATTATTCTCGGATCAACATCATACTATTAATGTACTTTTGGAATTTGTTTTGAGATTTGAGATGAATCGCAAGCTACAAACACAGGAAAAACATCAACTAGTTGCTCGAAGAAGAGACCGGAGGGGCCACCATGGGGCAGCAAAGTCAATCGAACCGGATCTTCAGCACCTTCTTCAACACTCAGGATACCTGTATAATAGTTTATATCAGTTTTGACATACCCAGGGCAGACACGATTGATGCAGATACCCGCGTACTTCTTGGCCAGAATCCTTGTGTACGCATTCATGGCAGCTTTTGAGAGTTAATAGGCAGACAAATAAGGAGGCCAGCCTTTGGTTTCCAATGAACCCTCTTTATAATCTTTCAGGTATTGGCTCAACACCTCATCCACTCTATCTTCAGTAAGGTTTTCGACATCACCTAAGACTACTTTTGCCCATTCATTTGATACATACTGAAATATGCACTTCAATTTTAGCAAAGTTGGTCACTTTAATACATTCTGAAACATTTAAGTTGCTTTTGAACTTTACCTCTAACTTTCCTGTGGAGGAAGAAACGTCCACAATTCTTGGAGAATCAGATAACTGGAGGAGGGGAATTAGTGCTTCACACATTCTTTTGGCACCATGGTAGTTTGTCTTGAGGCCTTCTTCAGCTGACTCGTGTTTGAGTAAGCATCTGAGTCCAGTTGACTAGTGCACCAGGCTGAGTTTTGATGATAAGTAAAGATTAAACTCTTAAGATTCTCAAAGCAAGGAAACGGATTATATACAGAAGACTTACCTTAATTTCCAAAATCTGAGGCTTTTATAGCATCATCATTTGCTATGGCACCACGAATTCCTGCATTGTTCACCTGCACACGATTAATAATTTCAAAATCCTTCAGCATGGATTACGTACAGTAACAACGATTCTGTATATGTAAAATAAATGGCTGTTTCTAACTACCTGACCAAATACAAAGCAGAAAATCCATGTTTGTGTACGTGTAATTCAAGCAACCAAACAAAGGATCATGTTCCCAGGAAAACAATACTGAATAAATATAAACTGATAAGGTTGAGAGACTGGAACTCAAATATACCAAGATATCAAGCTTTCCAAACTGTGATTTGATGAAATCTGCCAGAGAAGCAATACTGGCAGGATCTGCAACATCAAGTTGATGAAAAAGGATAAGGTCAGAGAGACCAGATTCTCTGAGCTTTTCTACAGCTTCAATGCCCCTTTTCTCACCTCTAGCAGTCAAAACAACAGTCACCCCTTTTCAAGCTAACTGCTTGCATATTCCCAGTCCAATCCCCTTGTTTGCTTCGGTGACCACCGCATACCTGAGAGATGATAGAAGGAAAGATGTAAGGTAAAAGAAAGATTGAGAGTGTAAAGACAAGAAATTCCCAAGGAAACAAGGACCTGTTTTTTGCAAGAAACGTGGATATATCTTCCATCTATTTTGAGAGAAGATGGATCTAATAAATCTGAAACTTTGAAGGTAGAGAAATGATATGTAAGGAAGGAAAGAAACGCAGGAAAAATATAAAGACAGCAACAAAGAGGACAACAATTAAGTACAATGATTGAACATTTTTTATTCCCCATAACATGGTTAGGAGATCCAAATGACATGTTTTTTTACAAGAGACAGCTAATCAATAAGTTGCTTGAAAAGCCAAAACTAGTCCAATTAAAACGGTAGACCATTGACAAATTGCGAAGTTAGTAAATCTTTTGAATACATTTGTATGATCAATTGCAGTGTCTGACATTTTTGAAGGTGTAAGTGATGACTATAATGAATAAAGTTGGGCACTGTCTGAATATAAATATTCAAATGTACTCTAAAAAATACGAGAATTTAGAGGATGTTAAACTACTAATACAAGCAGATGTTTCCGAACGGTTTAGGTCTGAATTCATTCTGAAATAGGAGGAAAAGCTTCAAGCTTCAGCTATAGCTTCTACCACGCATTGGACATTTTAAATGCGCTTTTGTATGGTTGAGATTCTGGGGTGATACACAAGGCAAAACAAAGGAAGAGACATCAGATTACCCCTCTTCTCATCTCTAGAAATCAGAACTACAGTCACCCCTTGTGAAGCCAACTGCTTGCATATTTCCAAACCAATACCTTTGTTTGCCCCAGTAACAACTGCATACCTGAAAATGAAGGGAAAGAAAAGAAGAATTAGAAAATTGAAACACCAGAAATGAAGAGAAAACATGATTGAAGGGAAAAAAAAGAAAAAAGAAAAAAGAAAAAAAACCTCTTTGTTGCTTTTAATGGAGAAACTGAATTATTAGACAAGTATAGGAGCTGAGGAAGGATAGTCTTCTATAGGTGTTTATTTTGTGAAGAGTTATGCCTGTAGCTTTTTAATATTTTATTATCATTAAAATTATGTTATTAAAAACTATTTTGAAAAGAGGGGCAACTCCAAAGAACCGTATGTTTTCGTCCTTTTTCTCCCTTACACTAATTTTTGACTTCCACAAAACACCTAGTAAAGGGAAACCCATGTAGACAAATACCAAGGAGTTGAATCCTTAAAAGCTCTACCCCAGTTCATACGTTGTTGGGTGCAACATGAAGACAAAATGGGGGGCAGCAAGCAAGCTGCGTTGATGGCACAAAATGGTTCGGCAACAAAAAAGGTGCTTGATGGAGAAAAAATGTGCAGCAACAACGCTGCATTAATGGAAAGAAAAGTGCCGCAAACAAAGCTGCATTATGGAAGCAAATGAAATAAAATGCAAATGCAACTGCAAATGTTAATGCAAATGAAATGTAAATGGAGGTTGCAATTAGTCAACAAAAGTGCATCAATGTGATAGTTTTTCAATGTACTTTTTTGTCGGTTTATATATTACAATCTTTGATTTAAATTTTAGATTAGATTTTGTAGAAAACATGTCATAAAGCATGGAAAGTAGGTAAAGAATACTATTTTTGTGTTGAAAGCTTTTGCTATAATTGGGCAGAGACGTTATTGGAAATGTGAGAGTTGGGAAACAACTTCTCCTTTCCTCTCCCTGTTTGGGTGAATGTTTGCACCTTGAAGGGCAGGGTTATGGCTACCACCCAGAATGTTAAGACATCAAAATTGGTAAAATATTGTCTTTAAAAATATTGATTTTGTTTAACTTAATTGATAAAAATAACTAATTATAGTAATTATTAATTAATAATTGATGGAATAGTTGATGTTTATTAGTTAACAAATCAAATTAATAAACAAATTGATATTTTCATACACTTTTTAAGAAAAAAAATTAAAAAATTGGTAGTTTTAACATTTTTCATGGTGACAATAAACACACCTCTTCCATGACTTGTTGGAGAAATATGGTAGAAAATCTGCAAAAGGCTTCAAGACGTATTGCAAATGCCACTTTTCTTGAGGCTAATTGCACCCCACCAGATTTGGCATGCAAAAAGGGTAACTCGAAATGCCTGTAGGATACAATGAAGCACCTTGTTGATCTTGCATTTGCATTAGCAAGATCAAACACTGAACCGTCCTTTGGAAAGTGACAAAACAAAAGTTTTTGTATAGGGATTTCTCCAACAATCAAAGTACAAAAATGGGCTATTTTATTTAGATAGTAGTAGGAGTTTGTTTCTGGGTTCAAGAGAGACAAAAAAGAGATAACTTTATATTCATAGGGACAAGATGTCTGTTGGGAATAAATACTCCTTTTTAGTTTATTAACTGATAATAACTGAGTTTTCATGAAATTTATCCATTGAAAACTCTTTCAAAAGTCATTTGGTTTGATTTGAATTCTAACTTACGTGTTTTCTTGCCTTTCATAGTTATTCACTCTTTTCAGAAACTTATCAAAATTCTATCTCTTATTTCTGACGTAAATTGTTAGAATCATAATTATATGGCTCGAACCAAAGTTACACTTTCTCAAATGCAGTATGTGCAATTGCTTCAAACCAACTTTTTGTGGTTCGAAGTCAAATCCTAAAAATATTTAAAAAAAATTTTCAACATGACTATATCAAATTCATGTTCTAAGTTCTACTCTCCTCCAAAACTCTAACAGTATCAAGATGTTATACATGTAGGGGCTTCTTCGGTTAGAAGGTAAGAAAATTTTTATTGAAAAAAATAGTTGGAAAAGTACTTTAAAAAAATGATAGTTAATTTTGTATTGAAATGTTGTTTAAATATTATTTGAATAAAAATCTTGTTTTACAGTTTAAGCAGCACCAGATTATAAAATAGAAATTATTGGATGAGGGGAGGTCACCAATATTGAAGACTCACATCTAATGGTTAGTGTTGTATAGTTTGATATAATCTGGATTGTAAAATACTTTTTTCTACTTGAGTTGTAACCTTACTATAAATTTTGTAAAAGGTTAATATTTATGAAAGTCAGTGAAAAGATGTCAAGTAAATCCCCACATTAGGAAAGTTGGGGAATTTTTTTTTTTTCCTTTTAAGTTGTGAGAAGAAAAAAATTGTATATTAAGAATTTGTTTTAGTATTAAAGCGTGAAAATGCAAAAAATCAGCATAGTTCAGATAGAAATATCCTCAAGAAAAATCAAAATTTAGAGAGGATGTTAAACAACAAATACGAGCAGGTGTTTCAGATGGTTTTAGGCATGAAATCAATGAGAAACAGGAGGAGAAGCTTTGAGTTTCAGCTTAGCTTCTGCCAAATATTGCGTAGATGAATCAAATTAGCATAAAGTAAGCTGCTCGACTTCATTGCTTCTATGCATGCTACAAGATATATGCTGCGTCTCATAATGTGGGCAATCAAAGCATGTTCAGATGAATGAGTTATAAAAAAAATTCGTAAGGAAGCAAAATACCATAAATCACAGACTTTGTTATTCCTTACTCGCAAACAACGTTTATATTTAAACATTTTTTCACATATGCTTTTGCTTGTTTGAGATTCTAAGACAATCATAAAGCAGTACAGAGGAAATAGCATAAACTTTCCCACAATCTGATCAGAACTCTGATTCTTCCAATCGATAGAAGAAGAGACCAGAAGGGGCACCATTTGGCAGCAATGCCAATCTAACGGGACCTTGAGCACCTTCCTCAACAGTCAAGACTCCGGTATTAAAGCTCATGTCAGTTTTGAGATAGCCAGGGCAAACACAATTAATGCAGAAACTAGGGTGTTTCTTAGCCAAAATCCTTGTATAGGCATTCATGGCAGCCTTGGAGAGTGTATAGGCAGACATAAAAGCAGGCCACCCTTGAGCTTCTAGTGATCCCCCTTTAAAATCTTTGAGGTATTTGTTCAATACATCATCCACTCTCTCTTCTGTAAGGTTTTCAGCATCACTTAAGATCGATTTCGCCCATTCATTTGATAGATTCTGAAACAGAATCATGAAATGAACTTAATATCCATCAAGTGACTTAAGTCATGCTTGGGAAAAAAATGATTACAGAAAACTTTTACCTTTAACCTCCCCATGGAGGAAGAAACATTAACAATTCTTGGTGAATCAGATAACTGGAGGAGGGGAATAAATGTTTCACACATCATTTTGGCACCAAAGTAGTTTGTTCTAAGGCCTTCTTCAGCCAACTCATATGTTTCAGTTGTGAGTGCACTCCAGTTGATTTGTTCACCCGCCTGTATCTGAATTGATAAGAAGCAAATTAAACCTTCCAATCCATGCAGTTACTCTCAAAAGAAAATTGTGTTTGAATAGTTTTTTTGTTTTCTTTGTGGCTAAGAAATCAAAGGATTATATGAAGAAGATTTACCTTACTGACAACAGCGTCACGATCTGTTGCTGCACCACCAATTCCTGCATTGTTCACCTGCACATGATGGTTGGGGGATATGAAAATCATTCAGCAGTCATTTCATATTTCATATGAATGAAAAATATTAGAGAATTTAAGTGATACCAAGATATCAAGCTTTCCAAATTGCCTCTTGACAAAATCTGCTAGAGAAGCAATAGTTGCAGGGTCTGCAACATCAAGCTGATGAAAAACTATGTATTCAGAGAGACCAGATTCTTTGAGCTT